GTTAATCTGGACAAAATTGCTAATGCCCAAATACCAGTATCTGCCTGCTTGTTTTCAAATATTACATAGGCTCACAAAACCTAATCTGCTTTACTCAATCCCTTCTTTGTTCTTTAATCTGATTATCGTGAAGTCAGGGTACATTATGTTTTTCCAATAAGTAATTTCTCCACACTTGGGTAAAATTCTAACTCTGCAATAATCAGCCCTTAACAAAACACTCAACTGGTTTAAATTTAGAAAGTTTCCATATCTTCACTTAGTTTTATTTAACCATTTAATCAATGTACTAGGATTACAATGCCTTTAGCATTGGATCTGAATAACACCTCAACCTTAAACTAAAATTCATTTTATTGATAACATTGTAGCAAGGAATTCCAACAGTGATATGCAATGAAAGAATCTAACAGACCTTGATTTAACTAATTTCGAAAAAGAAATAAGAACAGAATATTTAACCATTTAAGAACTAGTACTGTGAATTACCCATTATTTTGTTTTACTTTGTAATTTTCACTCTATTTCTTTTTTTTAGAACTGTGCTTCATAGGGTTTTGTTTTGTTTAACTTTTTATTGTGATTTGAGTGAAAGTTCACAGAGTAAATTGGTTTTCCATTCAACGATTCATACACATTTTGATGCTGACACTGATTGCAATCCTCACAATGCAACAGCATTCTTCTCACTTCCTCTATGTGTTTCCCCATTTCCATTAATCCTACTTTCCTATCCCTTCCTGCCTTCTGAGTTTTATCCCTGGGCAAAAGCTGTTCTTTTGACCTCCTGTGGCCAACTATTGTAAGGAGTGCATACACTTCTAGTATTACAGTTCACCTTAAAGGCCTGTTTATTGCTTCTCTGAAAGGCGAGCTACTGGGGTAAGTTAGGGAGCTCTGGTGGCATAGTGCGTAAGGCATTTGACTGCTAACCAGAAGGAAGGCTGGCATTTCAAACCCACCAGCCACTACTCGGAAGGAAGACTAGCCAATCTACTTCCGTAGAGATACCTCCTTGGAAACCCAGAGGGGTCGCTGTGAGTCAGAATCGACACCATGGCAGTGAGTCTGGTTTTTGGTTTTGGGGTAAATTCAGTTCCAGGCTTTAAGGGTTACTAAGGGCCATAGTCTCGAGGATTCCACAACTCCCTATCAGACGAGTAAGCCTAGTCTTTTTTATTATTTTGAATATTGTTTTACATTTTTCTCCTACTCTATCCTGTATCTTCTATTTTGATCCCTTTCAGAGCTGTCAGCAGGGTAGCTGGGTCCCATCTAGTTCTTCTGGTCTCAGGGTTGAAGAGGTGGGTTTTGTTTGGTCCATTAGTCCCTGTGGACTATTTGTTTCCATGCATCTTTGATTTTCTTCACTCTTCTTTGCTTCAGACAGAGAAACTAATACTTACACCTTAGATAACTACTCACTAGCTTTAAAATCCCACTACTCACAGAGTAGAATTGTCTTTGTAAAGTATGTTATGCCAAATGAGTTAGCTGTCCCCTGAGACTATGGTCCTAATCTCCCAAGTTCCATGTGACTTACTACCTGCAGGAGTTTGGTCATGGTTAATCAGTTTTCATAACTTTGCCCGCTGGTTGCTCTAACATATATATGGATATTTTTACAGCACATATAAATTCATATATAGAAATACCCTCTGCCAAACATATATACAGTTGTGGGCATAGTCCCATTCACCTACCCATAACTGTTCAGCTTGTCTGCCTGCCTGTGTATCTACTCATAGATTCTTGTTATCACAGACACTGCATGATTGCATATGTAGTAGTATTTACTTTTGTTGTCTCTAACACTTGTGCACAAATCTGTGCCTTCCTTTTCCTTAGTTATATTGTGCTTTTCCCTTCACCCAAATTAATATATATCTATTTAGTTCGTCATTTCCCCTGCCCTCCCTCTCATCCCATCCCTAGTAACCATCACAGAATGTTTCTTTCTGTATGTAAACCTTTCCTTGGCTTTTTATGATAGTAGATTTCGTGCAGCATTTGTTCTTTTGTGATTGACTTATGTTCTGAGGTATATCGTGGATTCTTTGTTATTCTGTAACTTTACATACTTTTTAAGGAGGCCATACCATTTTTACAGTGGTTGTACAATTTTACAGTCCTATCGGCAGGATGTGAGAGTCCAATCTCTCCACCTCCTCACCAGCATTTGTTGTTTCCTGTCTTATTGAAAAGGAGAACTGGTGGTGCAGTGGGTAAGGCATTTGACTGCTTACCAGAAGATTGGTGGTTCAAACCCACGAGCTGCTCCATGGGAGAAAGTTGAAGTGATCTACCTCTGTAAAGATTTATAGCCTTGGAAACTCAGTGGGGGTTGCTATGAGTCGGAATCTACTCAATGGCACTGGGTTTGGCTTTTTGGTCTTATTGAACTTTTCTATTATTGCTGGGGTGAAATGATATCTCATTTCTTTTAAAGTCTTTATTGTGATTTGAGTGAAAGTTTATAGAGCAAATTTGTTTTCCATTCAAATGTTCATTCATGACAATGAACGCAGTCCCCACAATGTAACAACACTCTTCCTACTTCCTCCCATTTCCATTTTTCCTTCTTTCCTATCCATTCCTGCCTTCTGAACTTTATAGCTGGGTAAATGCTACCCCTTTGACCTTGTATACTTGATCGATCTATGGAGGCTGAGGTTCACATGGTCCACTAGTCCCTTGGACTAATTGTTTCTGTATGTCTCTGATTTTCTTCACTCTTCTTTGCTCCAGATGATGAGAGACCAATAGTTGCACCTTAGATAGCCACTCACAAGCTTTTAAGACCCCAGCTGCTACTCAGCAAAGTGGAATGTAGAACAATGTTCTTTCTACATTAAGTTAGTGATGACTGGTTTTTGCATCTCTTTAATGAATGTTGATGGAATCTGGATTGGGATTGCATTTTATCTATAGATTGGGTAGTACTGACATTTTCACAATGTTCAGTATTCCTATCCATGAGCATGGTATGTTCTTCCATTTATATAGATCTCTTTTAGTTTCTAATAGTAATGTTTTGTAGTTTTTTTTGTATAAGTCTTGTCTCTCTGGTTAGATTTATTCCTGAATTGTTTGATATCTCATTCTTCTGATTTAATTTCTCCAATGGCTAAAGATCATGAGCATTTTTTCATGTGTTTCTTGGCCAGCTGAATGCCTTCTTTGGTGATGTATCTGTTCTTGTCCTTGGCCCATTTTTCAATTGGGTTGATCATCTTTTTGTTGTTGAAGTGTTAATGTTTTCTATAAATTTTAGACATTAGTCCCTTCTCAGAGATGTTGTTGCTAAATATTTTTCCCAGTTGGTAGGTTCTCTTTTAACTCTTTTGGTGAAGTCTTTTAGTCCATATAAGTATTTAATTTTTAGGAGGTCCCAGTCACTTAGTTTATCTTCTGCTCTTTATGTGTTTTTGGTTATGTTTGACCAAAACTAGGGCATAAATAGGGTTCTCAAAGTTGACCTTTCAGAAGCAGATCACTAGGTCTTTATTCTTAGGCAGCTCTGAGTGGACTCAAACTGCCAATCTTTCTGCTAATAGTTGAGTGCTTAAACATCTGTGCCACCCAAAGATTCAACTCAGATATTCTGTTACTTTCATTATCTGAAATCAATCCTTCAAATTAACTTACATGGAACATAGGTTTTTATGTGTATAACCTACATGGAACGTAGGTTTTGTGTAATTTACACACAGAGAGGCACGTCATGCAAAAAGGAAAGGGTAATTATTCTAATAGGAAATGACATTTGTGGGATGATTTAAATATAAGATTCTACTTAAAACATTATACTTGGAAAGCCATGAAAACCACAATTGAGAAGTTTCCTATTCATGTTAATCAGGGTCTTCATTTCTTTCTTTTATTCAATATTAAGTATGTAAATTTTTTAAGTACAATAAATCAAAGTAATTTCCACTCAGTGCCTTCAACTTCTGTTTGACTAACCCCACCTTGTGACCTCACAATTAATCTGGATATTAAAATGAATAGGCACGATTAAGACCATGGTTAGTATTTTGGGTCATAAGTTGCTTTACCAAATGAGAACAGAATTAAAACATACTCTTTAAAAAGCGATTTAAATAAATAAAATAAATTAAAATGCCAGCACCAATTACTGTGTGGACTTGAACCACCAACCTTTTGGTTAGCAGCTGAACTCATTGACCAAGGACTCCTCATTTTAGAAACAGTTTTGCCAAATATGCTATCCCTTACAGATATGCAGCTTCCTTACTCTACTCCAATATATTTTAACTATATATATATTTTATTATTGTGATTTGGCTGAAGATTTACAGAGCAAATTCACTTTCCATATAGAAGTTTACATATACTTTGTCTCATGACATTGACCACAGTTTACCACATGCAACAGCTCCCCTCCCACTTCCTCCCCATAGTTACCGACTCCTGCCCCCTGAGCTGTCTCCCTGTGAATAGGCAGCCCTTCTTTCTCAATGATTGTTCTCTCCAAGGAGTGTA